TAAACTAATTCGCATTAAATTATCTGTATGAACGCTAAGCGAAGCTAATTCGCAGTAAACTTACGTTTAATTCGAATTAAACTCTCAATGTGAACAGGGTATTACAGTTTAGAATTTTTAACGTTTAAATACACATACATATACTACAATTTTCGAAGAAAAGAAATTTCAGTAAAAAAAATTGCGAAGAAAGATATTTCAAAATGATAACGATTTATACAAATTCTTTCCTTACGATATACACGCATCTGGTATCGATACCGAGAGGTTTCGTCGTAGAATAAAACAGTAGAACGTGATTTTGCTCTGCAATAGCAAGGTTTTTTGTCATAATTCCATAGTGCAGTGAAATTCATGTAAGTATAAGTGCCTGAAAATGTTACATTTTTCATCACCTCTTCTCCACAATACCACGACCATGTAATCGGTGGATCTCCAAGTGAAGACACATAACATTCGAATTTCATGAAATCGCCCTCATAAATATGTCTTGTGTATCTATTACTGTAAGAATCAACTTGCATGCCGTAGTAGGGGTGTATACTGGGGATTGATGATGGGATAGCTGCAATATAACAAACATTCTAATAAATAAAACCATTTTTAAAGAAAATATATTACTTAAGCAAGTCATAAATAAGTGTATTCGATACATAGCATTTAACAATTTTTTTGCATATTAATTCTAGAACTATCATCTATCTTTTAACGGAAGAGCTTTTAGTACGTTGTACACTTTTGTAGTTTTTAATACAGATAGAATTATCTGCAATTTGATTTAAAGTTAATATAATTCAAATGTTTTTTTTTTCAAAAAATTGTTTGTAGCCAAATTAAACATTCGTTTACTTCTTTATCATTTAAAAATTTTCTTGGTGTTAAAGTTATGCTGCCCTATGTTGAAGCTCAAAAATGACACTTTGCACCTCTTTATAAGAAGACCTATTTTTATATTCACATAAAGCAGAATGTATTTAAAACCTTAAATCAGAAAAAAACTTATTTCTGGTGGCCATCAACTCGACATTTAAATATATTGAGGACGTATTATATATAAAGTAGCAATGGTTTCCATCACTCATATGTCGACATGATGCATTCAGGTCAAGTTGAAATAAGCTGCCACAAAACTTGATATTTGTTTCAAATTTGGATATTTTACAATTAGGAGAAACACTTTAATGGCGAACTAATAACAAAACGTGTTAACTTTAGTTTTTCTATTGTCAACTTCCCTTACTTATGTAGCAAATATAACCTAATCACTTTCACATGGGATTTATGTCTCCTGTTAACTAGATACACAAGAACATGATCTACATGCAAACAATTTCTGTAGCGAGGCAAGATATTAACAAACAAGTTGATGAAACAAGAATAACAACAGTCTCTTTTAAAGTCAATATTTTGCAAGTTCTGTAGTCGATACAATGATCTTTTGAGTAAGTACAGTCTATCATTATGTCATGCTGACTGACGTTTTTCATGTTAGACCATTATTTATATAATTGCACCTCCATGGCTTCTGATCCTGCTTCTGATGTTTTTAAAGCTCTGTGTTTATGTTGCTTCTAATTTGTATTGTTTAAATGAATTTTTTAGCATACCAGTAATTACTATTTATTATCTTTATATTTCATGCATTCATTATACTCTGAAATTAGTAATTCAAATAATAAATCCAATCCAAAATTATATACATAAAAAATAATGCAGCATACATTCTGTTTTAAAAGGAATGTTGGAAAGACGCTTTTTATGTATAAAAGATTTTAGTCTGTGCTTGGCTTCTTGGATAAAAGATAAATGAAAAGTCTCATCTACAGAGTACAACATTCATATTCTAAATGGTGGTTTAGCCATTGAATAATGTAAAAATAGGATTAGGGAAAATAAAATAAAATTCTTTTACACATCGAACTGTCCTTCTGTGCATAAAAAATAAATAAATTCTAAAACATTGCGAAATCGATCATACTCCAAAAGATAAGTTTATACATATAAAATAAAAGAAGATTTCTGGACACCAGGTTCTCGTAGAAAAAAGTAGTTTTTCGACCCCTAATGGCCTCTATGGTTTATTTTTATAATTTCAATGCTTTAAAGCATTACTACAGGATATGTGTATTTTTAATTTTATTCCAAAAGATGATAATGCTACAGTGTAAAATGTATGAGAAGTTCTGGAAATAAGCTTCTTCTACCTAACTCCTTTAATTCTACTTCAAAAGATGGATAACGATTACAATAATGTATATGAAAACTTTTATTAAAAAGAAAGGTTTGGCCTGAGGGAAATGGCAATTTTGATCTTTTTTTATCGTCTGTGCAATCAAACTTAAAATTAGCTGTAATAGGTTATTAGAGAAGGACATCTACATCTAATATAGATAAAAGTTATTTCGAAACAGAGATGCATTTTACATTTTTGCTTTTAATTATTATTGCTTAATAAGTAGAAGAGTAGAAGAGGCGGAAAACGATAAATGTATGCGCTATTAATAACAGTTATCTTTTTTGTAGGCTGATTTTTAGTACAGTATATAACAATTTAAAACTCTCTGATTTAAGCTTTTAACAAAGCATATTGAGGGTATTCAAACTTTTCAAACAATATGAAAAGAATTGTCCTTTTTGAAATGCTTATCGTACACTTGTTCAACTCCTGATCGACAATATGTGCACCGTGAAACTTGTTTATTTTTCTTTTATATTTTCTGTCAACATGGTATGTATTATGAAGCGTATGACATACATATCAGAATGTATTGTTTATAAATGGATAAATGGGACGATAATTTATGTTGTTTAATACTGGGAGTTCGCTATTTAAAAGAATCTGACCTTCAATAAAGAGACATTCCAAATAGTTAATCAGATGTGTACAGTTATAAAACCCAGTCTAGATGTTTCAAAAACAAATTCAAATTTAAACTTACTATCTGAAGATACAACAGAAAATATACTCAAGATCCAATAAACTTTGAAATCACTCATGTCTTTCAAAGTATAAATATTTCCGGGTAAACTGCGTCGTTTGATTACTGCAAATAAAGGAAGTTTAATTATGGTAAAGTCGTAAACAGAGCAAAGCTTGGTAACCCATGCATCGGTGACGTAACGTAATGGAATGCGCCTTTTAATATTTTAAAAAAACATGTTTGAATCTTGTCGTCTGGTAAGGAGTATAAAAGAAAATGTTTTGGATTACCTTGCCATTCTGTTGAATGAAAAATGCTTGAGGAATATTTTTATATAACCTACAAGTCACTAAGTACTTTTGCATACATATCTGGCTCATCACTTTTCCAGTTGCTGTACCTATTTGCCATACAATCTTTAAAAGATGTGTGGTTCTTTTGAATATCATAGTGACTTTAAAAAATGTTAAATTTTTAAAAATCTTATTTCATCATTTTTTAAAACTATAATTAACAAGTTGATAAAACAAGGAGATCAAAAATCATCCTTTTGTAAGGACACTGTTTGCTCAGCTTCAAATTTATATACCGGAATATTTAATTATCTTTTAAGCTTAAATACTCTTTTTTATCTCCTTAACTAATTCGAAATGAACCAAATCAATGTACCCTTCGAAATAACGTCTGCTGCTTTTGTTAATATGGCAGCCCATCAAAGCTAAAATTACCTACAACAAAATCAAGCTTCAGAGGGAACAAGTCTAATGGGTCATTGAATTTTCCAACAACAGCGGTGAGTCTCTGAAATGGTAGATTTCAACCAACTAAAATAAATGAAATAACATAAATATAAAACAGTTAAAATGCAAAGCACATCTTACCCATAATTAGCCATATTCCTTGAAGTTTTAACAATGAATAAGTGAAGGGTTATTCATTGATTTAGCCCTAAGCTCTTCTCACATCTGCCCGAGAATGAGTTGATGAGAATCTAGGATTCAAAAGGAGAGCCACCATTTAAGGATCGGAATATGTGTTTTATTTGACTTAAAACAAACAGGTTTTCAATAGAAAATTGAACATTAGCTGTATGACATTTTCGTGTGTTTTGTTTGAAATTTATGCATGACTAGGAAACATGAGCTTTGATGTTTCAAGATAAACGTGCTGGTTGATGAAGGATTCGGTTAAGAAAGGCTTGACACCGTTATTTTGTATGGGGACAGATCAGCAGTGAACTTGGTTAAATTTGTTCTGCTCCATAATTTGTATTGTTAATGAAGTCTTGAGCTGGGGTTTGGTAGTAATTCTGACCACAATGCATTTCAAACGGAAGAACTCCATGAAATGTTTATAAAATGATAAACATTGATGTAAATTGATGAATGGTTGTAATTTTCCAGTCTTTCTTCTTGATATATTCCACCAATATATAATTGTGATCATTGATAAAAAAAAAACAAACAAACAAACAAATGGTATTTTATGCATAAGTTTAATTTTTTCAATATAAAAAGTAATATAAGAACTTTTATCATTAAACTGGAGTTTTATGACATATGAGAAGCTTAATGTTGAGTTAACCTGTTACATGTAGCATATTTATCAAACATCAGTTAGAAATATGAATTCCATAACAAATTTCTTTCAAATATGAATCAAGTGGGATTATATCATTTTCCGTAAAAGTGTAACGGATACAAGCAATACGCACAATTTCAAACACAGATAACGTTTTTAAGCTTTGTTTAATTTTTGAATGCTTACACCTCCTAAACACCTGATCGCATCTTTGACGCTTCTAATGGTCTTTGCTTTTGAATTCTTCACAATTCGTTTTGTCAACTTGAAATTTAAGATTGATCGCTGTTTATTTTCTTCACCTTTCACGTTACACTGTAAATACAATGGTATACACCGTCAAATATACATTTATAATTCAAACTGTTCATTATATCCACATTTGAATCATATTTATTGATTTTTTAAAATAATATGAAATATATAAGTATTTATAAATAAATTATATACATGTAGCAAAGCATGACATTTTTTGTGATTTGAATAGGGAATCTCCTACATTCTTAAAGTCCAAGAGGTCGCCAAGATTTTGTTGTAATCGATAAAATGATAGACATTACCGTAAAAAAAATTATTGTTTTTTGTTGATAATTACATTCCCGTTTTATGAATTGTCATTATGCCTCGAAGGTTATGATTTTCTTTTTATACGGAATAATCAAGAATTTCTACAACACCCGTTTTTATCAACTTTGAACTATATAAACCTGATAACATTCGAGAGTAATGAAAATGATATGGAAGATAAAGCAGAATACACAAACATGATTAAATCATTGTCTTTTAGGATGTATTGGTATAACAAGACTAGTAGACTTGTTGTTCAGTACCATAAATCCAATTTCAATCTTTTTAAGTTCCGCTTAGCAATTTGTTAAACTATTGATTTATATATGTAAACTGTCTGAAATAGAAAATCATCAAAGTACTTTGTGTCTGCATGCATTGCAATAAATATATTTTTTCCCTACAAATTCAATGCCCGAGTAGAACTAGAAGTATATTCTAAAGACAAATCTGTATAATAATGTAGCTACAACACTTTTAATTAATCTGTTAGAGTTTAAATAGATTAAAATTTTACACATTCTTGTATGGTTTACCTTTGTTAACTTGAAGTATTTCGTAGGACTCCTCATTAGTATAAATAGGGTTCTGGTGACTTTTGTTGTTACTGCTATAAATGACGAAGATTATAAAAAAGAATTCAAGGCAATAATCTTCCAAATGATAAATTTCATTTATAAATACTGCTGAAATAAATAAAAGCAAATATTTTTTTTTATTTAAAAGTTATACCTTGCTTTTTCCTCTTCGTTTTTTTCTGAAATAGCATATAAATTTAATTATGAATAGAGTTTAAGTGTACTTGTGTTACTGTGTGACATGATGTGTACATGAAACACCGATGCCCTCATTATGGTGAGGGTTGAGTTCTCTAAAATGCATGTCAAACTTCCAAAGGACAAGGTCAAAAGGTCAAGAGTATTGGTACCCAAAGAAAGGTCTTGTTACAAGGAACACACCTGTGAAATATGAAAGCCCTAGTTCTAACTGTTCAAAAGTTTTGACTAAGGTTAAAGTTTTTGAAAAGTGGGTCAAACTCTTAGGTTAAGGTCAAAGGGTCAAAAATATTTAAACTAGTTGAAAGATCTTGTCACAATGAATACACATGTGATGTATAAATGCCCTAGCTCTAATTGTTCAAAAGTTATGGCCAAGGTTAAAGTGTGGTATTTTTTTGTAAAAATAGGTCAAACTCCAAGGTCAAGTGGTTAAATTCGGTGGTATTCAAAGAAGGGCTTCGTTAAAAGAAACATACCTGTGAAATGTGAAGCCATAGCCCCACCCAATCAATAGTTATTGGCTAGATTAATGTTGACCACAGACAGACAGAGAGACAAACAAACAAACAGATAATCAGACAGACAGGACAAAAACAATATACCACCGGGATCTCTCGATCCGGGGGCATAAAAATAAAATGTAGCTTTCATGATTCACTGGTTATCGCACAAAGTGAATCTCGTTATCTGAATACTGTAAATCACTTTTTATTCGCGAGAACTTTATTTTCGCGTAATTACGCGAGACAGTGTGCTCGCCAAAAATTAATTCTCGCGTATAATAGCATTTCTTAAGATTATATAGAGCAATAACCACAATTCGTGAAAATTTTGTTTCGTTAATCAAAAGTCAACTACTATCTCGCGAAAATAAGGTGTCGCGAAAATTAAGTGATCTACAGTATTATTGATGTAATTTATAAAGAAGCGTGCACGTATTTTTGTTCTACTTTTTAATTTAGGCTGTATTGAATGGCTCACCAGAATGTCCACAAGAACAAACGTTTCCTTTCTTTTTTCTAATATACTGTATCAGGAGGACAGAGCTTAAAGCAATGACAATAGCTGACAGTAACCCAGTCGTTGTTCCAAAAGCCGTAGCTGGTATACATTCTTTAGCAAGTCCAGCTTCTGAGGTTATTTCTTGTGATGCTGTCTGGACTTTAAGTAAAGAATATGATGCAGAGTTAAAGTTATTGATTTACATTGTCATGTAGAATAATAGCGTATGTCTAGGAAGACGAAAAAAGCAATATTTTTATCCTAATTCAACTGATATAAAATACTGTGAAATCACTAATTTTCGTGGTTTTCCAGGTATGAAGAGACCCAAGAATTTATGTCCACCACGAAATGCAATTTTTCAAATATATTACCACTGAAAAATTCTTCAACCACGATATCAAATCCCCATGAACTAATATATTTTCCTCAAACCACGAACATTTGACCGTTTGAAAATATGTGATTTTACAATATGTATATCTAAAAAAAAATTGAATATTCTCATAAGGTATTCGTTGGGAAATTTTATGAATATGAACAATGAAATTTGCACATATTTAAGAGATCTTTTTCTAGCTTCAGATTAGATGTCTGGGAAAAAGAAATGCATTTTTGCGACATAAAAGTGCTGTTATGCATAATATTTCAAACATCTGTCAAAATAAAAAAAAACCTGATTCAAAAAATCATTTGTAAAATACATCATAATCAAATTGTTAGCTAGAATCACTTTTAAAGACGCACAAAATTATAAATTTTATTATTTTGTAATTCTTACAGTAAAGAAAGATTGTGACTGGATCTGAAAGTTCATCGTATACATAGATAGAGGAAGATATTCCTCTACATCTGCAAGCCATCCCATTATGTCGTGCATTAACTTTGATTTCTAAGTAAGTCTCTGTTCCTAGGTCTACTCCATTCAGGGGAGGCAGATCGTCACATATCCATCTCCATGATATTTGTGGATATCCAAGTGTTGTGAGATTACACTTCATGGTAATGTACTCACCGCTCCCTACAGTTGTAGGAGACACAGGATAGATCCTTGGTCGTGTCCGAGGTGAATCTTAAAAAAGTCAACATTTAGTCACTAAAATCTATTTAAAAATTTCATGCTCCATACACAGTGATGTAAAAAAGTTATGATTTTCATTTGAAATATATAACCAAATTTCTAAACAAAGCTCCATGTCCACGTAAATTGGTACTCAATAAATCTTTATGTGCATAAAAGCGTAATTTTTATGATGAGTATTAGCAAAAAATAAAATTAAAAAAAATATTCCAAGTATAGTATTTCTTAAAGCATGCAACATGTTTAAAAATTTAAAAAAATATCTTTAAGGTTCTTCCTTGATTTATAATTAAAACATATCAAGTTTAAAATAAAATATATGAGATACAAACTCAATATTAATTTCCAGGATATCAAGTTAATTGTAAATGTAATTTATTTCCTAAATGTTTTGGCGCGGTTCCAAAAAAAACCACGTATATTGCGGGACAACACCTAGAGAGAAGCAGGCTTGGAGCCCGTGGATTGGCGGATATCAAAGCATGTAAATATAAGGAATAACTGTCAGATTTTTCAAAAAATGATCAATGGATAAATTTTACATTTCAAGTTTATTTAACACAAGCCAATCCAGCATAATAAAAATAAGACATGAAGGTAACATATTTATATGAAGCATATTTATATGGAAAGGGGATCTTTTTTATTTGCGTAACTTCAAGTTTGGGGCACAGATTGACCCTGTTATAACAAAATCATCTTCAAATAAGAAAACCAAGCATGGAGAAATGCTTATAATTATTTATTAAGAGCCATTCTATGTAACCACTTAAACTTCGTTGCCACGCATGGTCACCGATTTTAACGAAACTTCACCCATTCTTAGTACTTGACACCAAAAACATACGTCAAATAAAATTTTGTTGCATAGTGTCTCGGTTGCCATGATAACAGCCGGAAAAAAATGAAAAATTGAGATGTTCAGCTACTTTATATCTCTACTGAGCCTTAATAAAGACTAGGAAAAGCAAACCAACAATTCTCACAAAAACATGTCACCTTGTTCCCACATATACTGTAAAGAAACTGTTTAGAATATATCTCTAAGTAAGTGATAACCAAGGTACATTTGGAAGACATTTAAAATGCTGAAATATGCTGAAAAACGCTCACTATTCAATAATGGTATGTGGTACATGTACATGCTCATCTCAATCAACAACTTAAGAAAAACGATGAAAATGATTGACCTTAAGTATTTAAGTATAAGCGATATTATTCTATAAATAACTTTTATGGTTGCCATGGTAACACAATGTAACCAAGCAAAATCAGTAACTAAGATTGGGTTAATGCTACTGACTTCAGCAAAAACATGAACATTCAAGACTGGCAAATATGCATCCTTATATAGAACCCTGCAACACCAATTCCATAAGAAAATTTGGGATTAATTGCTACTTTGCGGTTTTACCAAGAAAACAACGTACCAGTTGTTAAAAGTGATTTTTTTTTTTTGCTGCATTAAGGATTTACTTGCCATTAAATCAAGAAATTAATAAAAATATAATGTAAACGCATACTTACAATAAACAAGAACCACATAACGAGAACTTGATGGGTAGTCGTAAAATAAAACAGTTGAGCGTGATTTCGCTCTACAATAGCAAGATTTCCCGTCATGATTCCTAGTCGCCGTAAAATTCATGCAAGTATTTGAGCTTGAAAATGTTACATTGGTCATCTGTTCTTCCCCACAATACCATGTCCACGTGATTGGAGGTTCTCCCAAGGGGTATACGCTACACCGAAATTTTATTAAAGCGCCCTCATAGACATGCTTGACAAAATTGTCAGTGTAGGAATTTATTTGCATGCCCCAATATGGATTTAGACTCGGAGGTGATGATGGGATAGCTGCAATGTGACAAAAACTTATACTGTTTTAAGTTTATGGTTAAGGTAAAGGGAAGACTTTGTGTGTAGTTTATCTTTTATTGATTTTTAAAAAACGGCTTTCATTTCTACTGCAAATGCACATGACAAAATTATGAGAGTTTTAGGGGAAAGATATCCTTTTCTCCCATTGGTAATTGCAAGAAATGAAAGGGTTCATGTTTGTACATGTACATACATGTATAAGTTATCTGAATCTGGCTTTACAAGTAGCAAGGAAGTAAATCATATTCTTGCATCAAAGTTAACCAAATTGCTTTTTTTGAAAAACGTTATTTTTTCTTTGATACCCATGATTTCTGTACAATATTTTCCTGCATTGTGGATATATTTTGGACGTAGTGGTGACGTTTGCAAAAACAATTACTCAAGTGAAGAGGATGTCGACGCTTAAAGTTAAAGTTAGCTTCTTCTTTAACATATCATACATCATCAAAATACGTATATCTCCAACGTTTTAAGTGCAGATGATAAACAATACTGAAGAAGAAATATTCATGGCAGTACATTTGCTAACATTATGAAAGCCATGAAACTGAATTTAAATAAGCCACAAATAAGACTTTATTATGTGATGTTGATACTGATTTTGCACATTTGCAATTGAATTTAAAAAAAAAATGATTAAAAAAAATGATTTTTCAAACTGTGCCCATGGCTTAATAGACCATCAAACATATTCAACCGAAAAAAAAATCTTTAAAATACTTCAAGACGTGATAGAAAGTTACTCTGAGCAATAATACATCAAGAACAATACAGACATTTCAAAATTTTAATTGAACTGGTGAATTTTTAATTTGCTCATGTTGTAAATTTTGTATTTACTGCCACCCGGAAAGTTCAAAATTTTTGTTTACAGAATGTATTTAATTGTTTCAACAACTCTAACTAATGTATCACAAATCCGATTAAGTAACTTACTATTAAAAAATGTTTTAATGACCCAATCAGAATTATCTATATCTAAATAAAGACCCTTTATCTAAAAAAAACAAATAATTTTCAGAAGTATCAGATTGAGTAGAACATGTAAAAATGAATTAAAAGTTTAAGTCTACCGAATTTCCTACCGATCTAGGTATAATTACGTGAAACTTTTCAAATTCATGTTTTAGATGAATTGCAATCATCGATTTCTCTAAGTTATCTTTCTTTTCATGTGTGTAAAAATACTGAGTTATAGAACTCCTACTAGACATACACAAGACTGAAATATATAATTATAGCACACTCAAATATTGAAATTATTATCAATATCAATGATACATTGAAAGGAGGTTGATTAACAGTAAACTTACTGTCAGGCATTACTGTAGAAGAGATCCAACAGATCCATATTAACTCGAGGTGAATCATCTTGTGGAAATAATACTGATATTATTGAAATGATATTTCAACTCATAAAGAAAAACTTGTGCTATTTATGCAGGAAGAAACGAACTTTTATTTGATTTGTTGAAACAACGTACAATAATCAAGAGACCTGCGTCCCATCCTCGTTGGCCGCTCCTCGTTAACTTAAAATGTAAACATAGATAGTGACTTTTCCTTCCTCGAGCTACCATCGTCGCAATATACGGCTAGAATATATGATAATCTCTAGTAAGGCAATGCTTGTATGAAGTTATTTCATAGGTCATTATAATATTGACCAAACGCGAGTAAAGCATATTCGTAAAATAAATTTTAGCGCGACTTTTAAACCCCAGTCGCAGCAGTTAACGGCAATATTTCAGCCATGTTTCGGCGAAGATTTAAAAAATGAAATATATGGAGATTACGAATAGTGTTCAAGTTCAAAAGTCCGTTTATACAATGCAAATCAACAGAAGAACAGTGGGCCTCTTAAACAAGAGGTAGAATCAGATGCCATGGAGGAGTGAGCATCTCCTGCCAACTGGTCACTCCGCCATAGCCCCTTGTTATGATCGAAAAACAACAGGCAAAAATTGTAGACAATTCAGATTTACGATAAGACCTAATGATAAATTGTATTTGTTGACATGGTCATTGTTTTGACCAAAAATATTGCGAAATTACGACTCAATAACCTACCTCATCTTAGAAATCATCCATACGTAGACTATGTTCTTGCGTATAAAATCTCGCCAAATCAATGATTTAACAATTCTCAATGCATTTCCTATGGAAAAAAATACCCGTGATAAAGGGAACCTGCATAATTTTTTACCAGAGGATTTTTCAAAAACCAAGTTATTGCATAAAATAACTAATCTTTGTAAATCATAGAAACCTAAAGCATAAATTGATACGTTTCTGCTTGGCATAAGGAAAACTGTCTAATTACAAATGAAGCACGTTATCCCCCCGCCCCCGATGCTATATACGCACTTTGATTTTCGTACAGAATGGATCCCCCGGATGATTTTGTTAAAAAAATAATTAGTGTTGCAATACATTATTTTTTTTACTTTATTTAAAACTTAACTAGAATGAAATATATGGAGATAACGAACAGTATTCAAGATTAAAAGTCCAATACAATACGAAATAGGAGCAGAGCAAATACGGACCTCCAAAACATCATAGGCGGAATCAGGTGCCACAGAGAAGTGAACATCCCCTGCCATGGAAACCGGTCACACCCGCCGTGTGCTCCTTGTTATGATCGGGAATTACCGAAAAAATCCGACGTCAATTCAGTGTATAAATAATTTACTAGCAATTAGCATGAAAAACGTCAGTCAGCATTTGACTCAATGATATATTGTATTTGCTGACAAGGTTTAAACCACTTCCTGAATATATAGTTGCACAGTACTCTTGAAGTTTCTCTTACACTACTGTTAATATCTAAGTGAGAAGTAAAGAAAGATCCTTGGTTGAGCACTCACTCGAACACACTACAGTGTATCTTTGTTTGTAAGGATTATTATGAGGTTTCGGAATTCAGTATAGATATGGACGTTCAAATTCATTTTGGTTCTTAGGGATCTTAAAAATATTTAAAACTGACATGTGGTTTCAATGAATTTCTTCTTTAGAAAGGGAACTATGAGTATAAGTTGAATTACCACTTATAGAATGAAGCCAAGTTCTTCTAAAATACAATTTATACAATGAGCCTCATAAACAAAGACAGTGTTGTTACCTGATTTGTCAGCAGGGACCAGTACATATTGATAATGTAATCTAATTCTTTTTTCACTTCTGAATTATTGAATACAGAAAGATAGATGATTTTCATATTAACATGGATTTGATACATTTAAACCATTCTCACAAGTGTCAACGTCTTCTTTTTCATATCTGGCCCATCGCCTGGCGTAATCTTCAATAGATCAATAAGATTTATGAAATTCCGATGCCAGTTGAAGGATCGGGGTTCCCTATATACAGGACCTTTTAAAATAAGTGATCTAAGGTCCTCACTATTAGCTATATTTACGTCACCTATAATAACGTGTCCAACAGGACTTGAGTTACAGGGTGAAGAAGAATATGAAGACAGTGGAGGATTATGTTTAGATACAAGATATCCAAGTCATGTGAGTTTCTTTGTAATTACAAAGTTTGGAAGCAATAGTCTATGCATATTTGTAGGAAATACAAGGAGTAGTCTTTAACTTGAAATATGGTTGAATGCAAGACTGAACCCATTGTGATTAAGAATATTTCTTATATTAACCGCGTCAATTCCCTTATTGGAAAAACTTATTGGAAAGACGGATTGTTTTAGTTGCATTTTCTTCCGTAAAACTTGGGGTTAAAGAAAGCCTTTATACATCAAAATTGCTATTTTTCTTAAAAACAGAGATAAAGTTAAACTTTGTGAAAATGCATATTTGAGAAAATATAAGGTTCAAATATGTGCCTAGGCACCTAAAACGGAAAAAAATGAGAATATGTATATAATATATAAACCATAAAATATCCAATTTAAAATTGACCTTCCATATCATCTGTTTTAGTTTCGTTTTATCATGTAGCTCATGTTCATTTTACTAGTATTCACCCAAACCAAGATTGGTACATGGGTTTCAAATAACATATATACATTATGTATACAAACTGGTCAGACCCGAAGGACAGGACACATTTCCTGGAGCTCCGGATTTCTTTCTTTACAATTGTTTATAAACTTAAAATTGAACATTCTAAATATTTAGTGTAAATATTTAAAAGTACATAGCACTAGATGTTTTCTGTTTCTTTATAAGTTTTTTTGTCCCGAGGAAGGGGTAGATCGTCCCGAAAAGTTGACAATCTTTATTGTTCGTGTCGTCGGGTGAGCGTTGTGGCACACTGGCCTTTTGTTCCGTTATGTAGAAGATATTTCAGAATTTGAGAAAAATGATCAGTAGAAGCCTTCATATTTTTTTCATCTAATGTTGTTTATATGTTATATTATTTTATACTTGATGAAGTAAATTCAAAATAATGCTTTAAGAAGAATTTATTGAATTTATTAGAATAAATAAGAACCTTTACAGGAAAATGAATTTAGGATTTGCTTAGACATTTTCTCGAAAGGTAGTAAATTAGTTATTTCTTTGGACGAATCATCATCCGTGTTGATTTCAAGGCTGTTTTGTCTTTCCATGGAATCCACACAATTGCTTTGTATGTGTTGGAGGCTGCCTTGTGGTAAGGACCGTTGAGATTTGACTTATAGCAGTTACTATAATACCACCAGGCACCTTGGTAAGTGATAGGGCAATTTGTAGAGCCAGGTCTGTCCTTTGTAGCAAAGAACTGTCCGTTATGATATTTTAATCCATCACCTATGTAAGTAATATTTAAAAGATCAAATTTTGAAAGTTTAGATTAAGAATAAGAAAAAAAAGACTTGTTTTCAATTAAAAAGATTTGTAAAATATCATTAGAGCATAGGCCTACAGATTAACAACAAATAGGTCTCTCTGTCTGCATAAACTTCAGATCTAATTTTCTTCAATTTTTTCAAACAAAACAAATGTCCAGTTGTTTATTTTACTTTTTGCTTTTTTTTTTCGTTTCAAGTGTGGGCAAAAAAAAGTTTTTAAAAAAAATAAAACAAGATAAAATTTAAATGAGAAAGTCACTCTGTTAGTTTTTAAACCTGCATTTCCACTATATCCGCTGATTGACAATTTGTACTTGTTTTTCTCATCATCAATGGCAAACTTGGAGTATCTGGCAAATGCTTTAGCTCCGGAAAAGTCTTCTAGTTCTACCAACAGTTCTTGTGTTGAAGGGGAGGACAGAGAGTGAATTGCATCGTTGCCTTTCAGATGCAAATACATTTATGTACATTAAAAATGTATGATGATATGTATCAACTTGTCAAGTTTCATTATGCAAATTTTAAACAATTCTTTGTATTTGGTACATAAGGCCTCTGTTACGAACAGGCATGCATAAATTAAGGTTGTAACTTACCTAACCAATAATCCGATCCTGCTTGGCCAAAGCCTGTCTTATAGTCTTTCCATCTTCTGTAAAAATTTGTAGTTCCCGTATGTATTCGTCGCTGAATAACCTTTTGTTTGCAAAATATTATTTTCATAAAAAATTATTTTTGCTGTAGAGTAGAGGATATGAACACTTACAATAGTGTATATGAATCTTAAGACTAGCCAGAAAAATAGATGGAATGATCTGTTGCGAATTGGGTATATTTTTATAGATTATATCAAAATAGAAAATCGATTTTTCGTAATTAAATTGATCACAATACCGTCCAACCCCCTCCTTCTGTCGTCATGTCACAGAATACTCTCTTCTTTGTCTTGCCGTCGGGGTAAATAGTGTATACTGCGTCATGACCCTTTCACACAGTGAAACTCTTAATATAATCACAATCATGCGGTATGAAGTGACCTAAAATAAATTAAAAAAATACACTTAAATATAATAAGAAATTCTATAAGGTTATAGCAAGATAAACAAAATGAAACTTAAGGACATACACAACGTAGTTTGAACCATTTTTTTTGTCTTTTTCCATGGAGTTGAAGGATTCCAAACGAACTGTTTACAATATTTAAATGTCTACATTTATAGCCTGATGCCAGAAAGTATTGCTCATATGCAAGCTTGTTTGTCCACAATCTGATTAAAATTAGATCCTTTGATCCGCTCACATAGATCGCTGCACACAAGTATATAGTGATCTTGTGTTAGCGGATCAAAGGGTCTAATTTTAATCAGATTGGTTTGTTCAGAGAGAAAATATATTCATACATTACTTTAAATATAAATGGCACAGAAAAATATAGAGGAAGTTTCGATGAGTTTCTAAGAAAAAATTAATATTTCCAATGTTATTATAATCAGGTAAATTGTTTCTTTTTTATTATTAAAAATACAAATTCACAGAGAACAAGCATTGGTTTTTAATCATTTCATCATGAAAAAAAGATTTTTTAAAGAATTTATGTAAAAAATGTATACATAGAATGTATAAAATACTCACTTGTATTAAAGATTCCTTCAACACCAACTGCTTTTGCGCTGACTTTGTAACTAGAAACAACGTCCACACCAATAGTTAGAGGGGAATTCACTTTATACGATGTTTTCTTATGGGTCCATTTCCAAGGTAGTTTTTTCAAAGATTCTTTCATATGGCCTACAATAAAAAAATATTTTCACATGATTATATATCATATTTCAATTTTCTGTTAAATTAAGTAAAATTGTAGTTTTTTTCATTAAAAGAAATGACACAGTGTATTTTTATCGGAAGTAAGTTTATGCTGTATCATTTTTTTTTAGAAGACTTTACATTTAATACCTGTATTTGTACACATTTCTATTTTCATGTAATATTTCCGAACGAGATTTTTTTTTTTATCTGGTCTCATTGTTAAATTTCTTGTTAAATTGAAGTGTTTGCAAGGTATAAATGATAGTATTGCATAAAATCTTTATACTTTATTTAATTTGACAGGGATTGAAATGTTATCGATTTAGTTAAAAACAAGTGAAAGATGCATGGGGGACTTTTTGTAATTTAATTGGATACATATTTAATATTTTATGATTCATCAAATTTGCAATACATGTTCTCTATTTAAAATGTGACTTACCTTTAATAAGAATGTGAGCCTTGGGAACATTAGCACCAGACAAGGATAAAAAAATTCCGCATATCAGGAAAAAGAACAAAGTCATTGCTTCTGTTGTATTCACTCAGTAAAATAGAATAAAACTGTCCCATATATATATAACGTATTTAAACTTGTACAAAATCAATATCGCATTAAAATGAAATATAATATCTCTGCAAACTTTAACATGACATGAAAAGAATATCAGTGAAAAGCTCTACAACGCTTGTATTTATTGTGTTTAAAAATCTTACGTTTGGTTGATTGATTGTATGTCGTTTTACGTCCTATTCGAGAATTTTTTACTCATTTAGAGACGTCACCATCAGGGCTTCAGATTTTGACGTTTACTCGATACTCATGGTCATTGAGCAGTGAGAAATAATTGCCGAGACAAGGGGCCTTGGTTTTTGAAGTCTTATCCGAAGGGTCCGCAACTTTTACTTCAATGTACCAAGCGCGTGGCAAAGGAGCAGTTGCTATCTATTCTTTCGACTGAAGTCTGCCGCGGCTGAGATTCGAACTCAAGACCTTACGATAACGTCTTACTTTTGATAATTAATTCTAATCTGATTTAAGAAACGGAAAACCTTTTTCAAAAGTTTAGACGCTCGGTCATTTTTTTTCGCAGCCTATAATATGCCGTCCTTGGGGAAAAAATATATCTTTCTTAATGATTAGAAATTTTACTATTAAGAACATCTGAAAGTTTGATTAGACTGTCATTGTATGTGTAAACTACATTTTAACGAATTATATATTGAACATATTCGATATGTCAACGACGCTTTATCAATAAAAAATAAAAAAAAATTCAAGTTCATTTATATGTCAGTTCGATATATCTTCATGAATTAAAAATAAAGGACACCACAGATTCTACACCCTGCTTCATTATTGAATATTTTATTGTCAATATAAGTTAATTGTCAACTAACAACTTAATGCGACAAATTGAATAATTTTATCTTTTCTGCACACGTGTAAGATTATTCCACAGTCTCTTACGTGTGGCGTTTATGTCTACCAATTGATTCAATTGTCAAAAAACATATTCTGAGGTTAACCGGATTAAGTTTTCTTGTTGAGATAATACAAAGAGCTCATGGTGGGTGTGACCTGTCGACAGGGGAAGTTTTCTCTTCACTGGCACCTGATTTCTTCTCCATTGTTTTCAAGAGTTTGTGTTTTGTCCTGTTCACGATTTGTATTCTTCGCAATATTTATGAGATTGATAACGGTTCGTCAGATTCACCGTTAATATGTATAATATTTTATGTTTAATATTCTAATCATAAAACAATATCTAAACTATTCAATCAACACGATATGCGTCAATTAGATTAATTGCTTACTTTTTATCGTTGATATAAAGTAACTTTAAAATAGAAAAATATTTCAGAAAAATAGTACTACGGGATAGCTTAAGGAATACGAAATCCTCTAAGATGCTAGAGTTGGATTTTACGTTAAATAATATGATAAGAATAATTTTTCTCAAGAGAATTTGACTTAACTTCGAATTCTTTAATCGAACTCTTTAATTAAGCCATCTACTCTTAGCTTTCTTGCATGATTTTATTGATTTGTCATGATCAATTAACCATCACACATTAAGTTAAATAACTTTTATAGAAAAATTTTCCCAGTATTCGATATTGTCTCTGAAAAGTAACACTTTTGTTGACGTTTAATTGTTTAAATCTATAAGTTTAATGTATTTTATTGTAGTACGCAGGTTTAATGCCAATGAATACACATAAATCATCTGTACAGATAACGTCGATATGTGTTCTACAGAAATCTTGATAATGACCGTGCCTCTATAGAACTAACTTTTAACCCTAAAGAATATCAACGATTAAAGAGGGAGATAATACTGGTTGAAAATTTTATTTTCCAGAGATCATGTATATGCTTCTAGCATTATTAATTGCATATGTCTTCACTGTTGGTAAGTAAATTTTTTTCCCATTATTTTATTCTAATAAAGTCCTTAAAAATGCCATGGATGAATTCTCGAGAACTTTAAGATACTTTATACTCGGAGTAGAAGATTGAGAAATTTACTTTTCATTTTGATGCGATTTCCCGATCAGGACAAGGAGCAAACAGCAGGTGGGACCGGTCCGCAGGGGATGCTCACTTCTCCATGGCACCTGTTCAATTTCTCATGTTTTAGAGACCAAGTTTGCTTTACTCAATAATTTAATTTGTATTGCCTAAAGGACTAGAAAGAGTTTGAATTCTATTCGTTATCTCGATATCTTTCATATATGCGTTTCATATTTCATTGAAATTATGCGTCAAAAAGGGTCATTGAACTTGGACTATTGCAATATGTGTAAATATTCCCCTAAATCCAGAAAAAACACAATGCAACATATATTCGCGATTTCTTAATTCTGATTGATTTTGATATAGAATAAGAGACATTGAATGCTTGCATGACATTATTTTTTTTTTCGTTTGAATATAATTTCTTTCTTTCAAATTACGTAAGTTACGTATTGTTTATTTAAAAGATTGTCTTTGTGTGGACAAAATGGCGGACTGTGGAAAGCTTGGATGCGAGGGATATGTCTGGAATTCCTTTACTAGGCAATACTGTTTACATTACTGTGGGGTCTGTCCTTGTCAGTAAAAACAAATTCACTTACTTTATTATTAAAATTATTATTTTATTATTATATATCTTTTCAATATCACAAACATGTAAAAGAAATATAAAAAGGCTTTCTCCAAATCCCTCTTTTAGAAACTTTTAAACAGTACCAAACATTTTTCAAGATCTTATTTTTAAGATCTACATCTTCCGAACTGTGTGGACATGGCGAGTAATTGTAGTATAGTTGCGAAAGCATATTGTTCGGATCCTCATCTTCAAGACGTAATGAGACTGAATTGTCCGGCGTATTGTGGATTTTGTTCTCGTGAGTACTACAATTACCACACTTCTAACTTCAAAAACAGTCTTGAACTCCATAATCTTGGTCACCACTTCACGTTGGACTTTTTTAAGCAGCCTTTGCACAAGCAATGCGTCTCCCTTTTGCAACCCACATTTCGTCAGCAGTAGGTTAAGTTACGTAAAAGACAAGAAAGAATTATGTAATTTTTTTTATGTATATTTTTAGCACACAATAATACACAAGGTAAGTTGGAATTCTCTTATGAAAGTTGATTTTTTAAATTCATTTTTTAAAAGTGCAATTTTCATATGAATAAGTTATTTAACCATGTTATGTTTTTTTATCTTTAGGAACAGCAAGTGAATTGTAATTGGATAATACACATATTCTGTGTCAGTGTCAGTTGAACGAAATCTTGCCTATTAAAAATATTTATCCTGAAACGTTATCTGTATACGTGTACATTAAATAAATATTTAATAATGCATGTATTAATGTGTGACCGTTGTCCGTTACCTATATGGTTTTTTGCATTGTATACTGTAAACCAACTATTATCCGCGTCATCTTTTATTCGCGATTTGTCAGTCTAAAATTAAACCGCGACGATTAATTTCCGCGACCGAGGAAAACATTCTCTTCAAATCCTTAGCAAAACTAATGGTTCGCGGCGATTATTATTCGCGAGTTAAAGGAGGTCGCGGAACTCGCGGATATTTCTTGCACGCGAATAAAAATTGGTTTACAGTATCTTGCAGGTGCTTGTATATCTTGTACCCTAGAACAACATGATATATATTTTAATGTGTCTCATGGTCTTAAGAAAATAAGATCAAAGATATATTTAGTACAAGAAATATTTTCGCTAAAAAAAATACGAAAGTCGATTAAACAGTACAAAAAAGGAGCGAAGCAAAATGGAACTCCAAAACATCAGAGGTACATGTAGGACCTCTGTCGACCGTTCATACCCGCCGTGTGCTCCTGGTCATGTTTGGGAAATAACGGAAAAATCCGTCAAAAATTCAGTGTGTAAATAAGGGACTCATCTCTTATCCTCTTGTTCAACTGAATAGAATTTAATGATGCTTTCATATATTCTTTATGACATAATGCCAAATTGTGCAACCTCCCTTTTATTTTTGATCTAATACTTATTTCGGGTCTCCCAGAGCAAAACATGGACTTTGCTAACATAATCATAGGGAAGGCTGGGGGTATCATTTAGTGAGCTCATTGCTCACAGTACCTCTAATTTTATTTACGGTTAAGGACATCTGCAGGGTTTCTGGTTATCATGAAGAATTTCTTAAAAAATAAAAAAAGAATCCATGAGTAGGTTTGATACCAAACAGTTTATATTCTAGGTGCATTTAGTTTAACCCATCTAGCAAACCTTTTTAAAGAAAGAGTCGTCATAGCAATGATTTTAAAATATTCAGTGCATTTCCTATTAAAAAAAAAAAGGAACCTTTATAAAGAAACCTAAATTATTTTATATCTTATGATTAATCAAAATCCCATTCATTTCATATCGTTTATATCCTATAAAAATAATTGTTTCTTAATTTCTTGTAATTAGGCTAAAATGTATAA